TTTGGATTAGTGGGGAAGAGAAATAAGGATATCCTAGCTAGAGCCACAGCATAAACAAAAACAGTGGGTAGGGAATGAGAATAGTGGCCACACAACAATCATATAAGTCTCATTCAAACAGGGCATTCTTGAAGGCGTATAGTGGGAGATCAGGTGGAATAAGTAGGTTGGAACCAGATTGTGAAGGCCCCTGAACACCACTGGAAGAGTTGGAACTGAATACTTTAGGCAGTGGGACACCACTGAATCTTTTCTGAGCAGGGTAGTTACATGATGAAAGCAGTTCTGTAGGAAGATGAAGCTGTCGGTGGTGAATAAGACGAATTGGAGAAGTTAGAGGCTGGAGGCTGTTCCGAAGTAGTTGCAATAACTTATGTATAAGAAGATGAACATGTGGAGTGGGATATTAGTAATGGGAATGAAGAACTCATGAGAAATGCAAAAGGCCTTACAAAGAAAGGATTGACAACAGACAGTAATTGATTGAATAGAGGTGGTGAAGGACAGCAAATAGTCAAAGAAATAATGATTTTTGTGGCTGGACTGGGGATGATGGGTTGGGCATGCATTGTGATAACTAGTTGTTTTCACTTTTTTTTCCCCACCTTGCAGTGGAATTAAGAGATGGGACAAAGGCACAAGCTGATTGCCTTTGTGTGTGTGGGGAGGTGTCTCTCCATGACTCAAAGCATTTTTCCAACCCACTGAACCTGGGCCATGTTGTGTTAAATTTTCTTCTCAATACTCTGGTGGATGCATAATGAATGGGGAATTTAATCCATATGCTTCTGATTCCTTTACACTCTACTCATCAAAATGCTGCTTTTAAAGAGCTCTTTGATGTCCAACAAGACCCTGAGTCTTTTTATGAGACTTTTTAATGCTCTCTCTCCTCCCTTTCTAGTTTGTTTTTAAAATAATGGAAGTTGTGTTTTTCTGGGTCTAAATGAACTCAGACATTGAAAGGTTCACGTTCTAAATTCTAAACCCGTGAGGTTCACTTGGACTCAGGATTTGGCAAATTTGGCTTCTTTTCCAATCCAGGAAGTTCCAATTCCATTCAGGATATCACTCTTCAAATTTGCTGAGCCCCAACCCTGGGGCTCATATTGCCCAGAGAAAGCAGGAGACAGAGTTCCTGCTCAGCTGTTCCTTAATTACTCAGTCCAGGGCTGCACTGCAGAAGCAGAGAAAATGAGTACTTTCTTGGTATGGTTTGAAGGGTGACTAAAGTCTCCCTATTCAAAAATAACTCATGCAATGTTACAATTATAAATGAATTTAGAAATTATCTAGTCCGATGCTTCTCAAATTGTGTAGAAAGGTGTGTGAGTATGGTGGTGGTAGGGAATGAGAGGAATATATCATGATGGGAAAACATGGAAAATAGTGTCGTTTACTTTACTATATTAATGGTTATAGGCAATATGCACATTCAATTGAAGAGGAGAAACTTTGGAAGTTGGTTGAAATTGATCATGTGACCAAAAGCTGTTTTATTCTTCTAAATCATTTAATGAGCCCAATAATGTATGACTCACAATTATTAGTTTGTGTCCACAAAGGCCACATGTATTCATTTATCTCTTTTTATTTTTAGTTTTTTAAACTGTCTACCTTTATACCAATGCCCATAATGGATACTTGGGTTTGAAATGAGGAGGCTTGAACAAAGGAGAAATTGAAATTAACCAATACTCTGACAATGAAACAAACATTCAGAAACTTAATTCTAGTACAAAATTGTAGTATAAAAAATGTCAAATATCGAAGAAACGCAAATGTGGTGATAGTTCTCCCCAACTTGGGTTTACTTCTACAGCTACTGGTATATAGCATATTATCTGATTTAAAAATAATAGTTTCAATGTTCTGGAATAATAAAATAATTTATAAACAAAAGAGAATGAAATGGAAAACAAAATCTTCAAATTATTAAAGGGAAGATGTGATTAGCTGTAACAATCCTAAAAATACTGTATTTTATGCACCAACAAAATTACAGGCCTGGACCCCCTTTCTCTTAAAAAAAAAAAAGTTCCTTCCATCACTTCTTTGGCCCATAGATCATAGTTGGTAATGTGCTATAGCCATCTCCATCACATATGCCTTTTAGTTCACTTAAAATTTAGATTTTTCAGAGAATGTGTTGTACTATAATTCACTGGCATATAGCATCACCAAAAAAATATTGATGTTTAACAGATATGGTTTGAGGTGCAGTTTTTGAAGGCATGGTGAAGTTTCCAAAATGCAAGCAATCCCATTCTCTTTCTGTTCTTCAATTCTAATCCCAGATTATTGTGTAGCTGTCTTTCGTTTCCCTTCCAAGATTGATCTATCTATCTATCTATCTATCATCTATCTATTTACCTATCTATACTTGACTAATTTGATAGGCTGCCCATCCAACTAAATGTTATAATTTGGGTAATATACATTACTCATCCACTTAGTTTTTCCTACATGAATTGTTAGAGATCTCCTTTTCTTGTTTGTTTGTTGTTTTTAGGCAATTGGGGTTAAGTGACTTGCCCAGGGTCACATAGCTAGTAAGTGTTGAGTGTTTGGTCTGAGGCCTGATTTGAACTCAGGTCCTCCTGACTTCAGGGCTGGTGCTCTATCCACTGCACTACCTAGCTGCCCCTGAGATCTCCTTTTCTTGATTCTTTAAAATAATTTTATTTTTACTGATGCTTTTTGCTTTTATATCACATTATTTTTGAATTTACCTCAACCCTCAACTATTAGTTATCTTTGGAACAATGATTTTAAAAGAAAGGGAAAAGAAAAAAAATTCAGCCAACTAACCAAGACATTAACTAGATCTGATAATATTTTAATATTCCACAAGCACTGTATTCCTACCTCTGTGAAGAAAGGAAGGGCAGGTAGGTGGCATAGTTGATAGAATGCTGGGGCTGGAGTCAGGAAGACCTGAGTTCAAATCCAGACTCAGACAGTTACTAGCTGTGTGGCCCTGGGTAAGTCACTTCACCCTTTTTGCCTCCATTTCCTCATCTATAAAATGAACTGAAGAAGGAAATGGAAAACCACTAGTATCTTTGCCAAGAAAATCACAAATAGGGCCACAAAGAGTGAGACATGACTGAACAACAACAAAAGAAGGGAAGGAGGTGTATTTTCTAATCTTTTCTTCAGGGCAAGCCTTGATTATTATAATTAAACAACATTCAGTTTCTTCTTTGTTTAGTTGTTTGTTCTTTTTTGTTTATATTGCTCTAGTCTTTGTGTATACTGGTTTTTCTGGTTATACTTACTGTGCATTAATATATATATATATATATATATATATATGTATGTATGTATGTGTGTTTATGTGTGTGTATATATATATATGTATATATATATATGTATATATATATATATATATACATATATATATATGTATATATATATTCATATATTTATATGTATCTCCATGCTTCTTGGAATTTAGGTTTATTAAAGATCTGCCATATAAACCAGACTCTTCAGGAATCTGAACAATTATAAGCTATTGGCTAGATTTTAAGAATCTAAGTCCTTGTCTAGATTATAAGAATCAGAGCACCTTAATGGAGGCAAGATGGACCTTATATACAGAAAGACTGGGAGAAGGGTCTAGAAGTGGCCGAGTAGTTTGGGGTGACTGGAGGAGGAGCCTAAGGAGGATCTGGATGGGAGTGGATAGTTAGGTGGGGCGAAGCTGAGAATGGAGTCTAGATAGGATTAAGGGTGGGAAGTGGCCAGGGCGATTGGGAGGTAACAGAACAGAATTGGGAAATTGGGCATCCGCCACAGTAAAAGGCCACTTGATAGGATTATAGCCTCAGGTGAACTCCAGAGATTTAGTAGGGCACCTTTTCTAGCCCCTCCCTCATGCCAGGAGGTAAGCAGTGCAGTCCTTAGGAAGGCTGCTAAGGATTGGCTAACATGACAAAAAAGGAAAATGTTGGATGTTGGAGGGGATTTGGGAAAACTGGGACACTAATGCACTGTTGGTGGAGTTGTGAACTGATCCAACCATTCTGGAAAGCAATTTGGAACTATGCCCAAAGGGCTATAAAACTGTGCATAGCCTTTGATCTAGCAATACTACTGATAGGTTTACATCCCAAAGATATCCAAAGAAAGGGAAAAGGACCTGTTTTTACAAGGGTATTTATAGCAACTCTTTTTGTGGTGGCTAAGAATTGAAAATCAAAGGGATGCCCATCAAATGGGGAATAGTTGAACAAGCTGTGGTACATGACTGTAATGGAATAACACTGTGCTATAAGAAATGACAAGCAGGATGATTTCAGAAAAACCTGGGAAGACTTATATGAACTGAAGCATGGTGAAGTGAACAGAACCAGGACAATGTTGTACACAGTAACAGCAATATTGTTCGATGAAGAATTGCGAATGATTTAGCTATTCTCAGTAATACAATGATCTAAGACAATCCCAAAGAACTTATGATGAAGCATAATATCTATCTCCAGAGAAAAAAACTGATATTGTTTGAATATATGACACATTGTTTGAATTCATGACTGAATTCAAACTTCACAGAACAAATACCCTTAATAAAAAGATTTGCTCTATAAAACTTGGACTCAGTCAGAAGGCTGCACCCAAGGTCCTAGAAGACCACATGTGGCCTGAAGGCCACAGATTCCCCACCCCAGTCTAGTGAGAAGACAACCCTATCCCCTGAGTTGCCTAGGTGCAGAGTTATGACTACAGCTCCCACTGTATCCATACCTACTGCTTTGTAACTTGCCTATTGCCACAGGATTTTGAGGTAGATAAAAAAAAGATAGAAAAATAGTAACACAGTAAAATAATAAATAATAAAATGTAAAATAGTTGAATAACAAAATTGCAAAATTATTGAACAGCAAAATAATGAAATAGCAAAATGGTATGGGTGATGCCTTTTGACTCATGAATAAATTAGATTTAAGTGAGGCAGAGTTGTGTGAAGTCATCAGCTTTACTCTCTCTTCCAGGGTCATCAAAGTCCAGTGGCAAGACAAAGTCAAGAAAATTGGTGATGGCCTGGGATGCAGTGGATGACCTTGGCATCTTCAGTGTCTGACCAAGCCTAAGCACTCCACATGACTTGCTTCTGCTGCCTTTGTGACCCATTGAAACAAAATGTTCCTATCTGCCTATTCTGCCTGGAAGTCTTCACATGCTTGGGGTGGATACCCCTTATCTTACCAATGGGTTTGAGGCCTGTAGGTTACCTTCAACCTGGTTTAGCCCATTTGCCAAGCAGTTTTCCTCAGCCAGTGCACATACAACAGCTTCTTGGAGCCACAAGTCAGAGCTGGGTAGCAGGAGGATCCTGAAGGTAGATGAGCAGCCTTGAAAAGGGCTCAACAGCCCCCACATCAGCAGTACTAATTTTCCCTTGAACACTCCATACACCCCATCAGTTAGGCTATACTGCCTTATTATAATCTAATCATGTATGACCTCATATGTCAAATATAACCAGTAAGTTGTAGTTGTAGTCCAGAGGGGAGAGAGACCACTATTGGCTAGGATGATCAGGGAAAGCTTCAAAGAGGGGACTTGAGCTGGGCTTAAGGATAGGAAAAAAAATTAGAGAAGTAGAGGGGATAGGGAAGGGTATTGCCTGGAGAGGGCTTCAAACTAAACTATGAAGTAAATATATTTGAGTAGGATGAAGTTTTTAGTAATATGGAAATAAGCCTGGCTAATGTGAGAGAGGCAAATTGTGATGGTCCTTACAAAATAGACTGAGCAAATCAGCCTTAGCTGATCTCCTTTGGAAAAAAAAATTTAATGCTCTAGCCACTGGCTACTTCTAGGTTCTGATTCTCTTCAGAAAAAGGAAATTTCTGGGTGAAGAAATGAGAAGAAAAAACTCCTCTGGACTTTTATAGAAGGCACTGCAGACCTCACTGTTGTCCATTCCCTCCCACTTTCTAGAGTCTTTTTGTACTTCCAAAATCTCTCAGAAAGGAAAGAAGACCTAAGAAATCATTGCATTTGTTTAATGTTTTACTTTTCCACATGTTGAGGGTATTTATATTCTCAAATAGGACCACAGGGAGAAGAACTTCAAAGAATAAAATCTCTGATGGTGGAATTTTGGACACGGACAGGATAGTTGTAAAGACACTTTGAATCGGGAGGGATTTTTCCAAATTTTTAATCACTTCATGTAGCTAGGTGGTGGGCTATTCTATGTATAAGGCGAGCCCTGAGTACCTTCTTCATCCCACCTGTATGCAATTTAGTCTGCTTTCTGACTATGGTTTCTTTTGGATTCTGTTACATCAATTAAGGAGGATAAAACCATGAAAGAGAGCAAGGGAATAAATCTATTTGTTCCTACAGAAATGCAGGCCAGACTTGTTAAGGCAGTGCTGACTCATGGGACTATACAGCAGCAAGATTGCTGAAGGAAACAGCTGCCTTTCCCAGGGGTCTTTGGTCTCTAATTTTGAGCCAATAGCATGGAGCCAGAAAGCTCAGGAGCTCTCAAAATAGTTAAAGCTACTGACTCGCTCTGTGACCCATGACTGACACAACTAGATCATCTTATATTCCTGCCAAACTGTTGGTGAAAGAAGACCCCACTTCAGACCAAATGCTGCCTTGGATGAGAACTTTCCCTGATGAAGAATTGATTCTTTTCCCCTCTGGAGGAAACAGACACAGATGGAAGGGTTGGGGGAGCCAGGAGAGGTGAATGAAATGCCCTAAAAATATTGTGTTCAATATGTGTTTATTACTATTATTAGTTACAATTATAGAGGAGAAAAGAGGAGAGGAGAGAGTAAGACATGAGAAAAGAGAAGAGAGGAGATGCTTCATTCTGCTTAACTTCTTTGTAGCATCTGACAAGGTTGACTCCCTTTCCCTTCTTGATATTCATTCCACTCTTAAGGCATGGCTGTCTTCTGATTCTCCTCTTCTACAGCTATTCCTTTAATATCTCCTCCAGACTTCTAAATATCAGCAGAGGAAATCAGTCCAGGAGGGGTTGGAAATACTCAAGAGTGAATTGTGAAGAGAATTCTGAAGAGAAACAAATACAACGAGGAAGAAAAAAATGGGATTTTCATAAGGGATTGATGTGGATGCACAGGAAGGAGAGAAAAAAGGAAGGCAGGTGAAAAAGCAGGCTGGAAGGAAGAAAAAAGAAAGAGGGAAGGAGGGAGGGAGGAAAGGAAGAAGGGAAGAAAAGAAGGAGGGAGGGAAGGAAGGAAAAAAAGAAAGGAAGGAAGGAAGGAAAAAAGAAGGAAGCAGTGAAGGAGGGAGGAAAGGAAGGAAGGAAGGAAGTAAAAAGGATTTATTAAGTGCTTATTATGTGCCAAGTACTATGTTAAGTGCTAGGGATATAATACAAGCAAAAAGAAAGACAGTACCTGACCTCAAGGAACTAATATTTAAATAGGCAAAAATAACCCAAGAAAAGGAGCTGAAAAGTTGGGGTTTGGGATGGAAGATGAAGATACCTGTGTTGAAGTTCAGAAAGTCAGGGACAGGGAACTCACCAACAAACCTAGATTTAGGAAAGAAATGAATAGAGGATGGGAGGTAAGACCAGGGTGAATATGAGTGTGGCACAGTCCTAGACAAATACTGTTGTGAATGTTGAAGTGTAGAATGAGCTGAGGCTATTGTGGAAAGCTAAGGACAACAAGAAGGATATTTTGGTTTTTTAGCTGTATTAGGGGGAAAGGAAGAACCAAGAAGGGGGAGGGTCTTTGCTTGGAGTGGATAGGATGATGATAACTGACAGCAGAGAGAAGCCAGAGATGCTCCATTCTTGTTTGGCTTCTGTTATCTTCACTCAGGAGAATGACTTTTTATACCGAAAATGAAAGGACAAAAATGACCAACGCAGAGTTGATATTCAAGATAAGTAGAAGAGCACCTAGTTACTTTTGACGAATTCAAGTTACTTAGTCCAGATGAACTTCTGCCACTTTCGGGGATATTTGAAAGATTGTGGGAAATAGTACATACACTACAAATTTGAAGGGAAAAAAATCCTGTTTTTTTTAAGGGAAGAGTACAGAGTCTGCAAACTATAGACCAATGATATTGGCTTTGATTTCTGGGGAAATTCTAGAGCAGGTCATTCAAGAGATGGTTGGAAAATCTCCAGAAAGGAAAGGATTGATTATATATAGCCCACAAGACACTATCAAGAGCAGGTCATGCCAGACTAACTTCATCCCTTTTTTAAAAAATTGCATTACTAAACTAGTGGATGCTGTGAATATAGTTTACTTAGATTTTTGAAAAGCTTTTGATAAAATACTTCACAGTATTCTTGTGGAGAAGACGGAGATATATGAACTAGAAGATAATGAAATTATATGGAGTCAGAACTGGTTGGATGGCCACACTCAAAGAATAGTGGTTAATGGGTCAATGTCAAGATTGCAGAAAATTCCTAGAGGAGTATCGTGGGAATCTGCCAGGGGCCCTATACTTTAAATATTTTTATTAATCACTTAGATAAAGCAATAAGTGGCATACTCATCTATTTCTAGATAACACAAAACTGAGAGGCATAGTTAATGCATTGATTGATAGAATCAAGAATCAAAAAGACCTTCACAGGCTAGAGAACACTGGGCAGACGCCAAAAATTTAATGAAGATACTTGTGTGGCTCACACTTGCATGCAGAAAATTACTCTCATGAGTATAAGATGGGAGAAGCATGGTTAGATAGCACTTATTCTGAACAAGAGCTGGAGGTTTTAATGAAGAGCCAGTTTGATATATAAGCAGTATAATACATCAGTCAAAAAATCTAATTCAATCTTGGACTGTATTACAAAACACATAGCTTCCAGTAATACAGTGGTGTGTTTAGAACTAGCAATAATATTAACATGGTTTCATTTTGTCACAGCAATGATTATGCACATGGAGTTTTATTTACACTAAGCTGATTTAGAACACTTGACCTTGAAGAAGTAGAATTGAATTGATCTGGTTTCCCACCTTTTGTTAGTTTTCTGTCAGTTAAATGCTGGATTTTGTACCATATACGTGTGTTTTATTACTTTCTTTTGTTGTGCTTTTCCTTCTGTGATTTTTAATAGTAGATATTGTTCCATAGAAATATGTAAACTTCGTTAAAGAGCACACTTCAATGACTGTTAGAGACACCACAGCAGCAGGTAATGTGAGGAAATCAAGAATTTCAAGGATCATTTAAGCCCACAATGAAGCAGGATTAGTCTCATAGAAGTGCAAAAAAAAAAGCGTGATGAAAAACAAAACAAAATGCTAAGAATAATCTGTTGGTGCAAAATAGTCCAATTAGTTCTCATAAAACAAGCAAAGACCTTCAGAAGGGGCTGGCACTTTTTTTTTTTTGGTTAGGCAATGGGGTTAAGTGACTTGCCCAGGGTCACATAGCTAGTAAGTGTTATGTTTCTGAGACTGGATTTGAACTCAGGTTCTCTTGACTTCAGGGCTGGTGCTCTACGCACTGTACCAACTAGCTGCCCTTTGTAGCTGGCACTTGGAAGGGTTAGTATTGTTTCCTCCAAAGTGCGGGATATGCTTCTTGAAGTTGAAAAACAGTAAGAAAATGAGCTTTAAAAAACCCAGCAGCTTTCATTGTTATGAAGAAAAAATACTTGCCATGAACAGAACTATACAAATAGTGTAATACAGAAGGTTAGAAAATAGTAATTTTTACTGATAAAATTTACTTTTTCACTCAAGGCCATGTCAAAACCACTGTCAGGAGAAGTCTGTGTGAGCCTGTAAGATCTGAACATCTTCATCAGATTATAAAACATCCATCCCAAAAAATGTTTTGTGGAGTTTTTGCTTCCAGTGGGCCTGGAAGTCTTGTCCCTGTTAAGGAAATGATAAACTCTGATAAGTATATTGATTTATTGAGAATATTTCCAGAATTACTCAGTCCCATATGGATGTAATATATCACAACATGACCTTGCATTGTTCCAAATGTCAGTATAACTTTAAAAATGGATCCAAGAAATAGAGATAAATATGCTTTGATGACC